TTTTTTTATTACTATTTTTTATTTTATTTATACTTTATATTTTTCTTATATTTTTTAATACTACTTTAATATACTTACTTTACTTTTTATTATTACTAGTATTATATTATTTTATTAAATATAACTACCTATATCTATGTAACGGTGGAATTACATCTGTTTTAGGATGCGTTTGGCTGCTGCTTTTAGAGGCATTTCTACCTCGCTTAGCTTCTGACCTATTGCCGCTTTAACTAAACCTATGCTTACGAACTACGCTAAGTGGGACTTTACTTCGCCGCATTGTTATTACTATGCTGCCCTGCTGGTGGGACGAGGAAGGCTGCAAGTATCGTCAGCGCCTCTATGAAACCTAAGAATGGCACTGCGCTTACAGATTGCCTATTGGCCGGCGCCTACTTATTGTGATGGCATGCTCACTATCCCTTCCGCCATCGCCTCTCCTACTTGTTCTCTTAAATTTCCTCTAGTCGCTCGCCTCCTACGACAATGCCGTCCTCCACGAAGCGAAGCATTTGAAGAGAGCTAGTCACCTCTACTGCTGTCAGAAATGCTGCTCTGGTGCAAAATCGCTACTCATTGCGTCGACCTAACCTGTCTCTAGCTGCTATCTCATGCTGGGAAGGGCAGTCGGACACCAACTCGTTCTCCGACACATACTCGGACCCCAATACTGAGGCGGATACGGATATCGAGCCTAGTACGAGCGAGGATGCTGGCCTGGTCTTAGAACAGGAGCCAGACGCGGACCTGGACTCTGAAGCTGAAGAGATACTGAAAGACATTGCTCAGTTGAGGGCGGAGGGGCCGGCCAAGCCAAACCATACCCCTCATACGGTGAAATTATGGAAGAGGGAAGGCGACTTCTAGGAGAGGTAAGGTGTATCTCGTTTGCATACACCTTGTCTTTGTAGAGTCAACTAACGCACATCAGGTACTGTTTCAAGATTATGAAAAGGACCAAGAGGTCCCCAGAAGAACAACTACGCGCATGCGACCCAGAGACATTCAAAGCATACCTCCGCTGGCGAAAGAAGCATTCCCGGGTCAAGAAGGAGAGCTCAATGCGGAGCTATTGGAAAAGAATCAGCATGTGCTATATGGATCTCACACGCCACACGATGGACGCTGATATCCTCACCGATGTTTGTAATGTATATTCTGATGGCCACATTTTCCCCTGCATGGCGGCGCACTAACATGGCGGCAGTGGATTCCAACCCTAATGCTTGACAAATCCGAGAAGGAAAAGCATGCCATGTACGTCCAAGATCTTTACGCTATCCTCCACGCACTCTGGGTCGACGACACCAAACCCCTCCATGGCTATATCCGAGTTCAAATTTCGCTTCTTCTCCTCCTAAGCGCTGCTACAGCCACGAGACCAGGAGCTATTGTCGAAAGCTCAAGTGCAAAGGGTAGCAACAAGTCACTCTCGTTCAGGAATATCGAACTTCTGAAGGTTCGCAGCACTGTAGATCCCAGCCGGAGTACTATTGTGGTAAATGTCAATCTCGAGAACATCAAGAATAAGGAAAAGGATGGGAAGCCGTAAGTTGAATAGTAGATGTGGAAGTCAAGAAGTCTTGCTGATTCGTACTGTGCTGCAGGAAGAAATTCACTTTCCGTCTAGAAAGGACCCTCGCCTTCTGCATAGTTTCGTATATCCTGAGCATTGGCGTCAGTCAAGGAGCACTGAGGGACGACTTCACTAGTGTTCAGGATGTGTTCGACCTCAACATACCTGTGGGCCGTGATGTACTCCGCATCAAGTGGAAAAAGGAGTTGCTCAACCAACCGTTCCTGTGCGACGTTAGGAATACAAGTGAGGGTGTTCGCATACTGAAAGACAAGGCGTTTCCCTATGCGAAATACCGCGACATCTTTGTACGCTTGGGGCGTGTTGCGGGCTTTGAGAAATCATTGGAGCTGTACCAGCTGCGACGGGCTTCCGGGAGGAATATCAACAGTGAGTTTGCGTTGGACCCCGTATTACCCTTAATTGCGCCCAAGCTTATAGGATCTACTAGGCGCTCTTGACCCAGTAGAACGGAACCAGACTATGGGCCATCTCGGGAGCACATACGAAAAGTACTACACGCCAACGCACATTGCCCGTGACTTTCAGTCTATCTACTTTGGAAGCCCTTCAGAAGACCTTCTCATCCAATCTGTTGCACGCATGGGCTTGTCACGGGATCGACGTGCACCTACGGAACTGGATGACGCGCAACAGGAGGCATTACGGAACGATCCTGCACTCGCGGTCCTTCATAAGGAGCGAGAAACGTACAAAAGACAGCTTCATGACCAAGGCTTCTATCCACTCTCGAAGGGTCACGGGACGGATCTTTACAAGAAATACGAGGACACGAAGCGAAAGATTGGCAGTACGTATCAGATGTTGTACAGAGGACGATTAGAATTGGCCATCCGTGAGTTCCATGACTCGATCGATACAATCGAGATAGCCAGGCAACTCAGTGGGAAAGCCGCAGCCGAAGTCCTGACGCTTCCAGCCTTTGAGTTTGAACTTCGGGAGCGAGCCACCATCGCCGGCATGCTCTTCAAGCCAATTCAGGACGACAGAGCCCGGGTAAGATTTGTGCGAACCTTGGCTAGATTATGTCACAAACAAGAGACGCGGCAGCTGAAGGCATTCAAGCGAAAAAACGTGGGTTTGGCCGCATATGAAGCCAAGGGCTCGTCTTTCTCGAACAATAGAAACAAGGGCACCAATGGTGTTGAGAAGAGCCCGATTAACCAGGATGGCGAGATTGCGGAAGACGAGCTTGACGTACCAAAACGCAGAAAAGTCTTGGAGGTACAGCCTGTGACGCTCTACCCAACCGTACTTCCTTATCCGGTGTGTCTTATCTGCATAGGGAATGAAGAGTTCTCATACGAACGGAGGATGCGCCATATTCCACGGAAGGACGTCCTGAAGAAGCACGTGGAAACCCATTTCCGACTCCCTGAACTTCAGTCAGGGTTTGCATGCCGCCATCCTAGTTGCTCTGACATGCTGGTTGACTTAATGCATTTCAAGAGGCATGCGCTTGACACTCACGGTGTGTCTCACTGATACGTTTGTATTTCGCTCACCGGTACACAGTGCAACGAAGAGAAATTATCACATGGCAGTGGGTTTCTTCTTTTGGTCTTTCGATAAATTGTGCGCTCTAATATTCCCCATTCTTTCCCGTAGTTTTGCTTGCATTGTCTGCGTCTGTGTCCGCACTGTAGTTTAGCTTGATCAGCATCCCCAATACTTGGACATGCTGCGCGTGAGTTATGACGGCTTTCTACGACTGGAGGTAATAGTAGCATCGTCCGTAAAACCTTTTAAAAAGTACGCAATTCTCGCCCTTGTCAGCGGGTCTTCAATGCCCTCGCTGATGTCGGTCAATAGCGCAATCAATATTTGGTTCCTTCGCAGAGCCCTATCTGGTGTTAGCCAATATATAAGAAGAGGGTGATTAAATTATATCATACTCTTGTAAGCGATCCTGGCGTGCTTGATCATAATAGCATTCAGCCCCCTGATTCTCACAACTGGTGCAGCGCGGCCTACTGACAGAGCATTTTCTTTCTATGAAGGTTAGCTTAGATCAGTTGTACATCATACTACCGCAAATCCGCTGCTTATGTAGAGTAATGTAGAAGGCATCTTACTTTGCTTGCGGCATTGGGTACACTGTACGGCTGTCAGCGATAGCAACAACAGTTTCAGAATGCCTTACTGCTTTCTTTACTCGAGTGCCACAGGCTCGTGTCTTTTGCGTGGCAACTGGGATCTCGTTCTGTTGTTTGAGCCTAGGAATTGCAACCTCAGCCTGATGGCCATTCCACGCACAATTTTTCTCCATCTGACACAATCAGCCCTTTAGTGCTTTTAATGTAAAGAAAGGCTTCTTTGTCTGGATTTTTAAGTTTTTGAAGGCCAATCGAGTATTGATAGCGGGAGGCTGGCAGCAAGAACATCGAGATTTAGCGCAGAAAGCTGCAATTCTAATCAGCGGCTCAACTTCCCGAACGAATGAGAGACGTGACAGGGCCACTTTAGGCCACTTTTCTTTAATTACAATCTGTGAGGCAATGTCTATGTAAAAGTTGTGTAAGCTAAGACTAGAGCAGATAATATGTTGTGTTACAAGTAAACAGGAGGGTTCTCTCTTTGACAGGGGGCGAAGGGTTGAAGGCCAACTAACGCCCACGTCAGAAGGCGGTGCGATGATCACGTGACATGGAATTCCGCTAAGGCTGGCCATCCAGGATGGATGGGATGGCAGGACTAAAGGCAATGGGATATAAGGATGGAATGATTTCATTGTTACACTTGTCGTGGTTAACTCATTTCATACGTTCTTCTCCTACCCCGATTGATACTTAGTTATTCTATTGATAGAATTGATTTTCTTTACCTTGGTTACTTATCCAGCAATTCATATCCATCCACCCACCTCTCGCAAATCGCTCCCGAGCTCAATGCCTCCTCCTATATCGTTCCTTGCTTTTGACACCACTTCACCTGGAGATGTGGATTCTGATCTTGAATCCGATATGCCTTCTGAATGATTGGGATGGGGCGATACACTCTGAAGTTGAGTCTAGGTAGAAAGAGTGAAAACTCAATCGATCCGCTCGCTGAAGTCTACAAGTGAATCCAGGGGCCACTTCGCCTTCGGATCGCGAACAGGATGCTACAATCAGCGACGGAGTTGCCAATGCACTCCCCACAGGCAGTTAAGCCGCTACGGCTAGACTCGGAAGAGGATTCAACAGCCCGATAGATGGAGCTATGATGTACGAAGAAGGCCAGCAGTCTGCAGCGTATGCAAGCAGACGATGACGCTTCTATGTGGGACTTGGCGATTATTTACGACTCGAAGGCGCCAACTTCAGAATAGTGCGATGGCTCAGGGTTCTGGCGGCAGAGGGGGAAAAGAGAGAAGATATTTCGGAAACTATAAAAACAGCCGATACGGTGTTATAAGTTTCGAACGACGTACCTACAGCACGTAAAGAGCATGCACAGTGCGAAGATGGAGTGAGGTGTGGGCGCTTTCGGTAGGATGATAACAGGTGATGATTTCTGAATTTGCGCTTCTTATCATCTTTTAGCTGTAGGATGTGCGAGTAATCAACACGTGGTAAAATCAGGTACCTAACACTGTTGATCGTCTCTTATACTTACAGCGTCAGCGTTGGCTCGATGTCGACTAGCTCAGCAGCCTGCAATTCTTCGGCAGTACGTAACTACTTGCTGCGAGATGGTCTATGCATCTACAGTATTGCTAGGCACAGCCCCGTCAGGAAGACATTGCGCCACTCCTGAATACTGCAATATGAAGCTGGTTCTGGTCTTCATCGACCGCGTTGCTGAACGATACATCTCCTTATTCCTCTAATTCCTTCAATTCATCCCGTGCTGCCTGAAGTATCTGCTTCATTTCCAGGTACAGCTTTGGGTTTGGAACCCTCCACCGCCCACCATCGGGGAATACCTTCCTCCGTAATCTATTGACATAGGGAATTAATAATTGGTAATATAGTGTAAAAGTCGCTTCTGCGGTCCTAAGAAAATCTCTCTCGTCGCCTACTTCTCCTTTCTTTATTTTAGCTAGCTCTTCGGTGTCGATGTAATTCCACTTTTCAAATTGTGGAACAACTCTTCCTCCATTCGGCCCATCATAATGAATACATATCCAGAAGAGCACCTAGAAGAATAACTCGAGATCGTGCATAAACGAATGCTTTTCGTTATCTAGAAGCACTCTAATTACCATGAACGCACGCGTGCCCGTCTTCCCTCGCGCCCCTAACAGTTTCTCACAATTCTCTTTAATCGCAAGATTAAGGTCTATTAAAAACGCGCGCCAGGAGGGGTCATCGTCTTCCTTGTTGATTATAAGGTTGTTTAGTAAGATATTGCATTATAGCATGCCAGCTCGTGTGTGTAGCGACTTGTATCTATTAATGCAGCCTTCCAACGCACTTAGAAGGCTAACCCTAGAACTAGCTTTGTAAATAGGCTTCCTGTAGTCGCGGACGATAACACAGCGGTAGACCTAGTTTACAATTGTAGGTTTTGTTAGCGAGCTTAAGCAAGTGCGCTTACTAGGCGGCAGTAGCATTGCCGTGCAGCTTAAGAATCGCTTCCGCCTAGCAACACTGCTGCTTCTGTCTCTCCGCGAGGCTTGGCGTCTGGTTATGTTTGTTAGCGGCATCGCTTTCTCTAGCGTGTAGTTCGTTACCTTTGTTATGTCTAGGCCTTTCTGTACGTTTGTGCGGATATCGTCTTCTTAACTGCCTACACAGACTGTCTCGTAGTGGAAGTACCTCGCAACGTTTATCACTCTCTTCTTAGTTGCTGCATATAGCAGTTCACTCTCTTCTTCGCGCTCTAGATACTGCTATAAATCCTTAACAACTAGTAGCGTGCTAGGATCTTCTTCTTAGTAAACTTTCTAGCAGGTTGTTGCCCGACCAGCGATGCAAGGCACCCGCTTTATTACCTTGTTAATAACGAGGCGCTCTTTGCTGTTGTTCTGCTTAATCTCAATGTACTGCTTGTCTCCAACTGTAATAATCGTTAGGTTAAACCCTAGCTGCTCCTTGTTTATCTAAAGAAACCTAAGCATTGCAGTTACAAACTGCAGTCCATCTTCATTAACGTTGAATTGCTCAGAGGCGATGCCTCCAAGTTAATTGAACTTCTACAGCTGCATAAAAGATCCGCAGAGCGTAAAGCTAAGAACAAAGCAGCGACTGTCTTAAGCGGCGAGCACCTCCCTTGCGTATCAGCTAATGTTAAGCTATGCCTTAGACGCTTTGTTAGCTAATAGATTGCTCTTAAGCTCTCTAGGTATAAGAATCTGTAACTATTAACATTTTGAGTCTACGCCAACGTTCAGATCGTCCACAAAGCTAATATCTAGCTTACAATCAGCGGTAGAGCCTTGCAGAGGCTAATATAGCTGTGCTAGTAGTCGCCGCCAAATTCTAGATACTGGCCGATGCCCTTCTGCAAGGTCTAACAGCCAGTCTGTTAGCAGGGCAAACTAGCTCAGAACGTCCTTTTCCTTTGCCTCTTTAGGCCAGCCCTCCTAGCCGCCCTCTACCCGGAAGAGTAGGCTCTCTCCTTCCTTACACTTGTCAAACACGGCCTGTGCTGCTGCTCTCAGACCAGGCACATCTCTGAAGAACGCCTTGGCGAAGCCGGGTATGCTAACGTACAGGTGTCCTAGCTCCTCCTTTAGCACATTATCTACGTGTTTGCGGTGCTCGGTTAAGTTCGCGAAGCTGCCCGTGTTAATAGATAATAGTGTCTGCTAGAAGAAGGTAGAGTAGGGAGAAGGCGTTAATTCGGTAACGGCGTCGTAGACTCTGTTCTAGATAACTTTATTAAGTTTATTTTTAAGAACTACTTAAAGAAGTAGTTTAATACGTTTAATATTAAAATTATTAGCTTCTATTAAGAGTTTAAGTTGTAGTAAATTACTATAAAGAGTCTCTTAACCTGCGCTAGATAGAAGTAATTAAGTAACTAGTAGACCTTATAATGCTATAATAAGATAGATAGCTAGGTCTTTTAGTTCTAGTATAGCTTAGATATAAGAATAATAGAGTAAATATAGCTAGTACTTTTATCTAATATATTTAAATCTTTATATAAAGTATTAAATAAATTATAAACGCTACTTAATCTCTTTTCTATAAGTTTAAAGTTAAGCATTTCTAACTAAAATAGAGCTGCTATTATTTATAAACGCTTAAGGAATTATAGTATAGTTACGTAAATAAACTTATATATATAGACTTTTATATATAGAGACTATAAATAACTAAAGTAGAAAGTGCATTATAAAAGAGTACAGTAAAGATAAGAATATAAGCAGCAAAGTAACGCGATAGGCGCGCAGGCTAAGAAGGCTAGCTTAGCAAAACGTTAGCAATAGACAACATATATTAGGCCTACGTAATTGCGTAATAATGCTATAGTTAGCGTCTGTTTACTCTACCTCTATTATCGCAAGCTCTTTTATACTCTAAACTCTAAATTACGTTGCTTAGGATATATTA